ATTTGAATTTAAGAGGCTATTTTATAGTAATTGAAATTTATCATGTAATTATTTAAGAGAGAAAAAATTTACTCAAGATAGATTAAATTTTAAGAATATAATACCAAGTCATAATTTTTAGGAAAAATAAAAAAATAATACGTGTAAATGAGATAAAATTAATATATGCAAATTATCTTCCTACCTAAGAAAATATAATTATTTAAATATTATGAAAATTTATATTTAGGTAAAGATACAAATTAAGTTAACTCTATTAGATTTTATGAGAGTCTTAAAAAAATTATGGAAGAAGATTTAAAGATTTATCAGTCTTAAATAAATAAATGAAAAAAAGAAAAGAAAAAGAGAGATGAAAAGAAAATAAAAGATAGTGGGACCCACCTCTTTTATAACACACTCCTCAACTCCCTCATTCCCAATTCATTCTGCGTGCTTCTTCTTCTTCTATTTTTTTTTTTAAAATTATATATAAATCTCATAAATAAATTTATTTATAAATAAGTTTTAAAAAATTTAAAAACTATAACTAAATTTTTTAAGATTTGAGTGTAATTTAAATTTTGGATAAAAAGATAATAATATCTCAATTAAATATTATATCAGTCAAATAATTTATAGTTATAACTTTAACTTTTTACAACTGTAATTTCATATATTCAATAATTAAACTAATCAGTTTAACTATTAAATATGTAAATTTATAATCATAAAAAACTGAAATTATAGTTATAAATTATTGATAAAATAATTATAAACAATCAATATTAAACTTTATTAGTAACACATGATTGTTTAACAATTGAAAATGTGAAATTATAATTGTAAGTAGTTATAATTATAAATTATTGATGAAATAGTTATAAGTTAATTATTTCATTGATATAATGTATATTTAATAAAGACATTATTGTCTTTGCTGTCAAATTTTAAATTACACTGAAATTCTAAAGGATTAACCATATTTTCTAAATTTTATGGAACTTCTTATAAATAAATTTACTTTATGGAACCTATACATAATTTTTTCTTTTTTCCCAAGTCATGCTTGCCAGACCTCCATCAATGGAGGATTTAAATCACAACTTTTTTAACAAAAATTAGTCTGGGCGATAAGACTTTTTTAACGGTGTGAATATTATAATTTTCTTTTTTGCGTTTTGTATATTATGCTTAGATTTGTTCAGTTCTTTTATAATCATTTTAGTTTCTAATTCAATAACGACTAATCTTGTAAACTGAGTCAATTATAAAAATGTAGTTTTTTTTTAATCTAAATTGAGCTGCCAGCAGTTTCAATTGATGTTTTAACCATGCAGTTCATTTCTTAAAACGACTCTTATTCCTATTCTTTATTATATAGTTAAATTTTTTTAAAACAATTTTAACAATAATTTTAGGATAAAAACGTGTCTATTTTGAGGGGGTGGGTTCTCGATTAGTTTAATTCAGTTCAATATCAAAATGTATAAAAAATTAGAAATGATTGACCAAACAATACAAAAAGTATAAACCAAACCGAATCGAATCAAATAAGGTATTCAAACCAAATAAGGATCAAATCAAAATTTAACAATTTAGTTCGGTTAGTTAATTCAATTTTGAACTCCATATTGGGCCGCTTGGACTTGAGTTAATTTTTTTTTACTAAAATAAATAAGGCTTATATATAAAATTGGGTTTATAAAATAATAATAGTCCATTATAATGAGTCATGGTTTCAACTTATTAAATTATATGTTTACTTTTATTTAAGTATAAAATTAAAAAGAATAAAATAAAATAAAGTAATTAATAAAATAAATATAATTTATAAATTAATAAATTATATATACATCATAACTCGACTGGCTCAGTTTGTTTGATTTTAAATCTCATTAATCAAATTAAACCGATCGACTGAAATGGTTTTTCAAAAAAAATTGACTCAAATCAAAAAATTCAAATAAACTAAATCAAATAACAAAAATTCAATTTGATTCGATTCAATTTAATTTTCAGTTTCAGTTTAGTTTTACTTGATTTCTGTTTTAAAAATTATTTTCTATTTTTAAACAAAAAATAAATTTTGAATTGAAATATTTTTAAAACTGTTTTTTTTTAAACGAGAAATGGAAACATTGTTAGATCTGTGATGTTGTTTTCTTTTTTTTTTTTAAAGCATGCTATATTTAATTATTGTATATTATCTCCAATTATGGCTAATCACTGTAATAGGCCATAGCCATTAATCACTAGTGATCACCATCCTTCATTTCCTAACTCTAATAGTACATTCAGATTAATGAAAATTTCAATTTTGAGTTGAATTTAGTCCAAATCTCTTATCTGGCTACATAAAAATTTATGAATTCAAATTTAAATTCATTATATACTCTAATCATTTAAAATTTTAGTCATTTCAAATATCTTGTTCTCTTAATTTTTTAATTATTAATATCCCTATGACTCATGTATCTTTTCTCGTATTTCATTTCGATCGTCTCTTGTCAATTAAAAAATATAGAGAATTTTTTTTTAATTTTTTATTTTCATTTCAAATCTCGACTCATTTATCTTTTTCATTGAAATATTTTAAATTACCCAAACAAAATATTTTAAATAAATAAATTTTAAATATGAGATTTTGCATTTCAAATCTAAAATTCTAATCCATGATCCAAATATCACCTAAAACTATTTTCAAATTGATATAATCAGACATATTTTTATTTTATTTTATTTTATTTTAAAAATTAATCTTTAAAATTAGTTTACAGAATAATTTTTAAAAACAAAAAATAGAACAAAACTAAACAAGACCTTAATCTCTAACACCCCTATCAAGCTGAGCCATGCTCACGAGCTTGGAGCCAAAAAGTGACGCCCATATATAATTTCAAACGTGTTAGTTTAAATTGATATTAAATTGATATTTTTGTTCAACTGAATAAAATAAAACAAATTAAAATTCAAATATAATTCTAAAAAATGAGTAACCAATTGTTATTAATCTAAGAGTGTTAATTGTCACAAGTTTATAATGATACCTGTAACAATTGGTGGTGATTATTTTTCTTATAAATATATAAAGTAAGTGGATTGATATGTGCAAGTTTAGATATCAAATATACCCCGACAATGTATTGATAATTTGGATATACAATATAAAATTCTGATATAATATAAGCCTCTATAGTACTTATTTACATCGGTTCACAAGTTAATGGACTAGAAAATATTAGTGTACAACCTATCCAAATGTAAATAATGTGATAAAGAAGTACGCTAAAATAATAAATGTATAATTGAAATACATGGAATCTTAGTTAAAAAAATATAATGAGAAAATTACATCAGGAAATCATATAAACATATTTACTTGCAATATGATACACAACAATGTTACTGTCTAATAAAATGAAATCTCAATTTTAAATGAGATGAAGTATCTGATGAGGATATTTTAGTTGAAAAAATTATTGTGAATTATAATTTATTTTTCCCTTTAACTTACTTCTTTCACACTCATGTCAAATGTTAAGGGGAGTCTTGACCACGAGATATTTTACTCAGTTCTAATATTTAAAGAAAGAATACATGTGTGTGTGTGTGTGTGTGTAATTTTATAGTGTTAAGATACCTTGTTCAATCAAATCATGACTTATATTAGATCTCATCTTTTTAAGTCCATGATTTACCTTTGTTAATAATATTGAAACTCTTTGTAAATTACACGTGATTTATCAAAACTCAAAACGCTTGAGGCGAATCATCAATTACAAGTAATTTATCAAAATTCTTAAACTGATAGCATGACTTTCCAGGACAAATAAACATATTCAAAAGTATTTTGATCCTTTTTTTGTTTTATTGTTGAACTTTTCAACCTGGCCTTTATTCTCACCCTTAATCTTATTATTTATATATTTTTTTCTCTATTTGAAAAGAAGGAATTTCTTTTGCTATGATGATGAACCATATTAAAAAATATTGTAGTTAAACAAATTTGAATATGAGTGTATCTGTAACTTTTTTTATCAAATTATAAATATTTTTTATCTCATCTCAACCTGATTGTCAGTCTATTAAAATTGTATTTCTTAAGCTTTTATGAAGTTCCTTTACCGTATTCATTAACCAAATTCTGTTATCTCCAAACAGAATTGAAATATTCACTTGAGAAGAATAATTTGTTTGACAATCTCTTCTTTCGTACAACGCTCGGGTTAATTAACTTTAATTTAATTAAAAACAAGTATATTAAATATTACATGAGTGTATATGTGAAAACAGTAATTCTTGTATAATATGCATGGTTATAAGGGATGACCCAAAACTTTTATTCAAAAAAATAAAATAAAATTGGCCATATATGAACTGAGCTATAAAGTATAAACCATTAAATCATATAAAACTGAATTAATAGATCAATACATATGACTTTCACAAAAGTATAGCTGAACAACATTCTCACAAATCTCACAAACCAAAAGCTTCTAATTTGGCAGCCATAAAATTATCTGGAGCTACCACCTGTGTTATATCTGAAGTGTATTGCACTAATATATGCAGTCCCGTACACTTATTTCTACAACATCTAAAATATTGTATTGTGTGTGTTAGTGCTTAAAGAACATTTCAAAAATCTTTTGACAAATTGAATTACCTGGCTGGTGAGGAACACCAACAACAATTTCCAAAACGTGGGAAAAATTGTGGTGGCCACATGTGTTTCCTTACCATGTGAGAGGAGTATAAATATAAATAGGTGAATAGATATTATGGGTAATTGTCTCCTACTTTTTTTTTAAAAAAAAAGACGTGGGCAATTTCAGGAATTGAATCAATTAAAATGGTTAAATAGGTTTCTACAATAATTTGAAATTAAATCTTGAATCTGAAAATTTTCAAATTCGAATTTAAACATGAAACCCATCAAATTGACATTTGTATTAGTATAAATACTAGGCTGAAAAAAAATTAATTCATTTCAATACATTAGAAGCCGCTACAAATAATTAAATCAGCATTATTGTATCGAAGTGAGGTAAAGGACTCATGAAATGATCAAACATTTGCAAAGTCAATAACAGAACCATCGAGATTTTGATTGCTCTTCCATGGAGCTCTACAAATGACACACGTAAGTGATGCCTTGTTCTCTTTGGTTTTCTTCCACTCGACGAAGCACCGTTCATGAACCACACTCTGACACGTCTCGCAGGCCACAAGTTTCACTTCCTTTCCCGTCTTCATCATCTCCTCCAAACAAATCGGACATCCATTATTGTCATCACTAGCCCCAGTACCATCGTCCACTACCACCTCTGCAACATCATCGACCACTACCACCTCTGCAACATCATCCTCCACTACCACCTTTGCAGCATCATCGTTCTTTCTTCCAAAATTACTAAAGATCCTGTCCATGAACATGTCGCAGATTTCCTTGCTGGCAAAAGCCTCCGGCGACATCGGCAGGTTCAGAATCCAGCGGAGCATGGTAGGGCCCAAAGTCCTGCTGAAGCAGCTAGGGGGGATCCTGAAGACACAATAAAAGATGAAGATAATGTGCTGGCAATAGTACCATGGGTCGCCGTTAGGGCGAGAGAATGATGTCCGCTTACAGCTGCAAAAGATGACATTGGAGAATTGGACCTTGTAAAGGTTGATTTCTCCGAGGGGGTCATGAACGAAGAACGCTGATTCGAGTCGAAAAATTAGCTTTAGCTGGTACTGTAGCAGGTCCATGGATCGATGCTCTCTCTTTTGCTTGTGTGGTCAGAGTCAGAATCACAGAAGCAGTTTTTCGTGTCTGCTTAAAAAAAATGTTCTAAATGATATCTCTGGACCTTACCCTGATTTAATGTTTGAATTCAAATACTGATATTGATAGATATCAATAATCACAGGATCTATTTATTTAACGGTTAAAATTTAATCAAATTTATTTATTCAATTTAATTATAGTTTGTAAATTAGCTTACACTGATGAGAGATCAGATTTTAACAATATTTAAATCTATTTTTTTTTAATTTTTTACGTTTTATTATAATATTTTTTTTAAAATATTAAATATTAATCTTTAATTCCAATTTTTTTGTAAATTAATCGTTCAAGTTTCATATTAATGTTAATATCATGCAAAGTTGCAAAGAGTCTGATCATAATCTTTTATTAGGTTTTAAATAAATAATATATAATCAATTACAGTTTTTGAAATCAAAACAAAACAGTCTGATTTGAAGTATCAAAATAATAATAACAATTTAATTACAATATATAATAATAATATGTATCGAAGTCAAAAACAGTTTATGGTTCTGATTTGATGTCAATGACATCAACATATTATTGTTTTGGATTTAAGTCAGTATATTGTATGTTTAAGATGTTAGTTTTTAATTAAATCAAGTCGTATAAAATTTTTATATATTATTTATTTTATAATAAATTTTTATTGTTAATATTACCAACACATTGAAGTTCTTTTATTTTAATCAGAAAGAATAAAGCTTTTTAGGTATGTAAGGTCAAGAATGCAAGTTTTTTTAATTTAATTTATTGATTTATTAGCAAATAATTTTTGATATATATATATATATATATAATATTTGACATGTCTAATTTCAAATTAATAAAATACTAAAATAAAAAATTATATATAAACTAGCAGAAGGTAACCATGCGTTGCACGGGCAATATCATGAACATCTCTTTTTTTGACATTTTATGATAAAGAAATTTTTTCTATTTAGAATTTTAAGGTATTTTAAACAAAAGAATATAAAAGGAAAAACTATTTTTAAGGGGAGATATAATGTAATCAATATACTATGGTGTTTGTTACAATGACACACACACCCCATGAACCTTAGATTTATATTAGATTCCAATTTACCAAAATGATTTTCTATACTCTCCACTAAAAGATCACATGAAATTTTAGAATTGTAGCTCCTTGTTTTTTAAATTATATATTTTAGTCCTTGTTCTTTTGAGTCATCATCATCAAGGTGTTTAGCATTTAGATACTCATTTCATTATCTTTTTGTGTTCCTTTGTGTTTAATGTGTCATGATAATAATTAACATTGATTAAAGTGGATTTGTGGGTAATGGCTCCGTATAACATTTTCTTTTTTCTTGGTTGAGATCTTATCAATTTTTTTCATGATCCTATTTTTTATGTAATTGTACTTACACAAATTGTTATATTTTGTACATTTAAATTTTAATTTTTAGAGATACTGAAAAAGTGTAAGTAAAAAATTGTCATTTTTTGATATAAATTCTTTGAAATTTTAATAGTTACAGGTTCTTTATTATAGACAAAGATGTCACTTAGTTTGATTGCACAAATATGATTTAGTGAGACAAAATCTTGTAATTAGAAATTTTTTTGTCCTTATTTTAAATTTTCACATATTTTTATTCTTATTTTAGTTTAATTTAATCTTTTCATCATTTAATGCCATTCGCCCCCTAGTAAAATTCTTAATAGAAACAAATGAAATTTTTATAGGAGGCATTGAATTTTAGAGTCATATTATACTAAATTTCACTTTTTACCCAAGGGAATGGCCTCCCATAATAGCAAATATAGGCTATGCCCTCCTGGTAATAGATCATTATCAAAGAAAATTAGGTTTAGAAAAAAGTTACTATCTAATAAAAGATGATTGTACACAATTAAAGTGACAGAAAATATTTCATCACATATGAGGAGAGCCATTTTTTAAATGTTAATTTATTGTCTATTAAAAGTAAAACTAAGTGATTTTACTAGGTAAGAGTTTTTTTTTTTAAAAGATCAATTTACTATAATAGAAGAAGCTAAGAAATAATGTAAGGGTAGATTCATTTCGTGAGATTCATTCTTGAATATGTTTAATAATTTTTTATGACCTACTGTTAGAAGTTCATGTTATTTCATCACATTTTCCTTAGATTCTAGTCCATTTTGGCTTATTTGTATATGTTTTTATTGCCCAATTTAGGAAAATGTGCATTTTGTTTTGGGTTTGTGTTCTTGGCTTTAATTTGATATTCTTAGCCTAATTTCATGTTATTTTGATTAGAAGCATTTCTGGAGCTTTGTGGATTTTTTTGAAAGGCTTTTGGATGAAGAAATCAAGAGCAAAATGAATGATTTTTGTTAGCTGTAAAAACAGTGCAAAACTGCCAAAGTCGTCTCAAAGTCGTGACTTTCGTTCGCGACTTTCGTCACTGTCAGAAAAACGCTGCGTTTCATTTATCAAAAATTAGTTGGCTAGGACACATATAAGCTGAGAGCTCGACCCAGAACGCACTCTTCAGACTGTTAGACACTTTTGGAGCTCGGTTGTGCTAGGGTTTGGGCATTGGAAGAGTTGGGATCAAGAGATTGAAGCTTTGAAGACATTTGGAGCTCATTTTCTTTGGTTTTTCTATTCCTCTTCCCTTTCCTCTCTTGTAATATGAAATGAGTCCACTTATTTTGTATATTTGTAGCTTGTGGATGATTATGAGTAGCTAAACCCTTTGTTCTAGGATCATTTGGAACCCTTGTATGGATTAACACTATATTTCTCCTCTCTTTTATGATTAATGATATATATGTGTTTATTTTACTCTTTCCTTAATGCTTCTACTTGATTGGCCACCATTTAGATGTTGGGTTCACTTAATTGATGCTTGAGAGGGCTAGGTTGAGTGTAGAACTTGGGTAAAATTGTGTAAGAACTTGATATTTGCATGTTGAATGGATGGTTTTGCTAGTAAGATAGAGATATACTTGCTAGCCTTGCATAGCCACATTAGGGTTGATGTTTAAAATTGAGTTTTATTAATTGCAACAAGAAATTGGGCAATTAATTTAACGAAACACTTGTTCATGACTTGAGAGAGCTTGTCCAAGTATTTTTAGAACCCTAGGTTAGCACTTATTTTCATTAAAAGCATTTATGAGAGGAGGTAATTTTGGTGTTATGAAATGCAAGGGGGACAATTAATCTTAGGTCTCAATTTGTGTTGGAAGTTTGTGAATCACTCACTTTCTTAATTTTCTAGTGTTAGTTTCATTTACAAAATCATTTTCACCTAACGTTGCGTAGCTTAACTTGATCGAATTTACTTAGTCTTTTACTTGATCATTATTTTTGAACAAATCCTCGAGGGAATGATACTTTACTTTCATTATATTACTTGCTACGATCTGTGCACTTGCGGTGAGTAATAAGTTTTTGGCGCTGTTGCTAGGGATTTGCTTTTGAAAATATTTTGATCAACCTTAGACTAGTAATATTAGATTTCGCTTGAGCTTTGTAGATATTAGTTCTAGTTTTTTATTTAGTCTTTGTTCAGTGCTTTTGTTTTAGTTTGATACTTCTTGGGTTGTTTCTTCTTCAGGTTCCCATTTGGCATATGCAAGTCATAGGCCCAGAAGGATTAGAAGTGATACTTGAAGGATTGACAATCTTTGAAGAAACCGAGTCTCCTAATTCTGAAAGAACTCCTGAAACTCAATCGAGAAATATGGCAGAAGACCAGTATGATACCGCCTCAGTCAATGACTTTGCTAACCGAAATCTGAGGGGTACTCAATCTTGTATTCGAATGCCGGAGTTTCAAGCACATACTTTTGAGATCAAGCCCGCTATGATCACAATGCTTCAAATGCATGGTGTGTTTCATGGTCTATTCAATGAAGATGCTAACAAGCACTTGATGTCTTTTGTGAAAGTATGTGATTCTTTCAGACAAAACGGGGTACCTAAAGATGTCTTGCACTTACGGTTATTTTTAATTTCTCTACAAGACAAGGCTAAAGAATGGTTTAACAGTCTTCCCGAAGGTTCTATTAGTTCATGGGAGGATCTTGAGAACAAGTTTAAAGCTCGATTTTCTCTAATGATAAAACTGTGGAAGCAAGAGATGAATTTCTTAGCTTTAAGCAATATCCAGAGGAACATCTCTATGCAGCTTGGGAGAGATATAAGATGCTGATGAAGAAATGCCCTAATCATGGGGTGGACAAGTGGGTAGTGATTCAGATCTTCTGTAATCGTATGAATTCATCTTCGAAGGCCATGGTTGATTCTATCACAAATGGGGGATATCAGAATGTGCCTGTCAATGAAGTTTTTCGCCTCTTAAACCAATTGTTTGCGAACAACACTCAAAACACGGATAGAAGGAATACATCAATGGTGACTAGTGCTAAAGATGATTCCTCTTCCCAGATTGTATCCATCTTGAATGCAATGAACAAGCGTTTTGATGTGTTGGAATCTCAAATGCAAAAGGGAAATTCTCATAATGTGCATGCTATCCAAGCCATTCCAACTGTGTGCATTCAATGCAATGATATGCACATGCCCGATCAATGTCCTCTTTATATGACCACTGAGTCTGTCAACTATATGGGCAAGTTTCAAAATCCTCATAACAACCCTTACTCTCAAACCTAACTCTCAAACTTACAACTCAGGATGGAGGAATCATCTTAATTTTTCATGGAGTCAAGAGAATTCTTCAAATCAACCTTCATCCTCTAATGTCAAGCCACTTCACCCTCCGGGTTTTTAAGCTCCACCAAAGCCAATGCCGGTTAAAGAAGAGGAGTCTAGAATGGAAAAGATGCTAGCACAAATCTTGAGTAATCAAGAGTCTGCAAGAGTTAAAACTAAGGCAACTCTTACTCTTCATGATACCGCAATCAAGAATCTCGAAGTACAAATGGGGCAATTGACTTCACAAATGAATGCTATGTCAAGAAGTAATCTCCCTAGTGACACTATTCCAAATCCTAAAAGGGATGGTAAGGAGGAGTGTAAAGCAATCACTTTGAGAAGTGGGATGCAATTACCC